TGTAAATACATCAAGACTGATGCAGATAAGCAGTGAATAACCTCATCGTCTTTTCCACAGTGGGACAGAGTAAGATATGAGCTTGAAGTGCAGCATGGAAAGCTGGCCTAGATATTAAGCGGGTGGGGGGGAACAGACAGCTAAACATAAGGTTAGCGAAGCTCTGGAGCAAAGTCTCCATCACTGGAGGTCTTTTAGAGCCAGCTAAGATACCGCTGGCTCAGGCAAGGGGCTCGTGTAAGCGATCACTTGAAGTTCTTGCAGCCTCGTATGTGAACAAGATTTTACAGGCTCCATTTTCTGGAAAAAAATCTTTGGTCCACTGATGGTAGAGTCACCAACAAGCAAATCTGAGACAGGCCTAGGACATACTGGACAAATCCGTTGGCTCTAGATGTATTTCTTGACAGTAAACTTGGTTCGTAGTCAACCACAGGATATACCTCATTCTCCCAGCCATGCATAATTTCTTTTAGCAACATGGCAAAACAGGAAGGACTCTGCTACACTTCACCGCTACCGGTTTTAAAAAGGACAGTCATGCACACAGGATATGGAGCGGCTCTGTCCAGCTGTCTGCAGTCTCATAGGTGTTCTGGCCTACATTGTTGCCTACAATAAAGGTAGCACAACCACCAGTACTTAAATAACTGCAGAGCAACTGTGTCCTTCAACTGAATCCTGGAGTAAAGAGCATTCCTATCCTCACCAAGACAGATAACTGCAGTGCTGGAGACTACCCGGTGTGTTACTGCTAACACAAAAGAGCACTGTTCAGCATGAACATTAAAAGCTCCCACAACAGATTTTTATTAAATCCACATTGCTTTGCATGGGAACCTGGCTTGCCAAGATTTCCAGAAATTATCATCTTGACCACCTCCCTTTTGGGGGACTGACTCGAGAGGCCTTCAAGAGGGGGGAAGGACAGGCAATGGGCATGAGCATGTATTTTCAGAAAAACAAAACAGATCTCTGTAACAAGTTCAGATCACACCAGCTAAAATGAGTGCTCTCGAAGTCACGTTACCCTGAAAAATCCTCTGACCGTGGAGCAGAAACATCCGCAAACTAAACGTGTCCCTTAAGATATGAGGTGTTGACATGACACCATGGATGGGATTTCACCCAAAGTCAACTGCAGAAATCAAGTATTTCAGGAATCCTATCACACTCAATGGTGACAAAGGAAGCAGAAGACATCTCTTAACACAGGCACCTACTTTAAGATAAGACGAACTGTCTTCTGAAAGCATGCCCCTCTCTCTCTCTGCCCCCCCCTCCCCGCCACTGCTAGAGCATCAATGACTAATTCAAATTAGATGTCTCTTAGGACAAGACGATAATTGGAAGGATTTTCACCATCAGAAATGGCTTACTGACAAATCACAAAAAGCCCACGCAGTGATTTAAGCTCTGAGAACTTTCTAGGCACAAAAGAGTCACAGCTCTTCCCTATACATCCTCTGTGCCATTCATTTCAAAACACAAAAATTGTTCCACCAAATGATAATTTGAAAAAAGCTGCAGTCTCTATTCTGCTTGCTGACCACAAGCATACCTCAAGATCATCCATCATGACTTTTCAAGAGCCACTCCGGTCAAAACCACAACAAAGAGAAATGTAACAAGCCACCTGAAGTTTTGATAGCAAAGTTGAGTCACAGCAGCTCGCAGACAGAGCACTAACCCGAGTGTGGCAATCTAGCAATAGCCTTGACTTTTACTTAAAGAGAAGATAAGCACAGGAGACAAAACAAGATGCAATGTTTCCATCAACAACTGCATGGAATGTAGTAAGGACAGTCCTGGAGCCACTATTTCCTTCTCTGCATCCACCCCATCTTCATGATCACATCTCAGTCTCTCAAACTGTCCCTGGGCATCACCTACCTGCTTAATATTGTCAGTGACTTCTTTCCTTAGCCTTGGCTCCTCTTGTTCTGTTTCAATGAGCTTTCCTTCTCCACTAGTTCAGAGCAATGGGAGCTGCTGTCTCTGTGACCCATAAAGCCTGGTTGATCTGGGACCTCCAGCCCTACACCATCAGACAGGCACGGCCCAGGATGCAACACCATGCTTATATGGCTCATTCTTCCTCCCACTCATTTAGCTTCAACAAAGACTGCTAGATGCTTGGTATTTTGCATCAAGGTGTTGTTTTAAAACCCAGGTTTGGATGTTTGATTTTTATTTATTCCCAAGTCTCAGTTGGAGACCAACCTTCCTTCTCTAGCTGCAAGAGGACAGCTCGTTGCACTAGCATCTTTGATACATTTCTATTTTCTTCCTCTCCACCAGAAGGGAAAGGTCACAGCTTAGCCAAGATCTGAAACGCCTTTGGCTTAATCTCCCTTATTTCTTGGTCTTTTACCTTTGCCTCTATGGCAGATGAAGGCAATCCATCCTCAGAAAGGGACCACTCAGTTACTTGTGGCTCCTTTCAGCAGACCACGGGGGGGCAGGTGTGTCTGCACCTCCCACTTTGTTTGATATATAATCCAAGAGAATACACAAGCTCAGTCTTCATCCCAGAGAGATGACCTAGAGGACACTACTCTCCCTTGTCAAATGACTAACAAGATCCCTGAAGATGATTCCAAAGCTTTTGGGGGTTTTGAGTTTTGGAGGTTTGTTTTGGTTTGGGGTTTTTTTTAGAGTTCTTTTTAAGTTGCAGTACTTTGAGACAAAAACACTGGGGCTGGGATTCCTGATTTACAGGAGACCGTGTTGCTGGGACGGCCCAACCTACCAAGTGACATAGAGACAGAGGCTCAGCTATGCTCATGGAATTATCTCCTCTGAAGCCCCAGCATTTCCATGGAAAGAGGAAGACCTTAGTGAGCCAACCTGATACCCAGACTCTTCCCTGGCACAGCAAAGACCCACAGTCTTCAAGCAGTGGTGACAAACGTCTCCTTCACCGATGACACTTCCCAACTGCCATGCACCTCTGTCTTTGCAGCCCTTTCCTGACATACCAGAAGTCTTCCACCTGCAATCATCTGCACTGAGGACAGTAACATAAGGAAAAACTTGCAATTATTTTTAACATTGGAAATGATTAATCTGAAATCCCAGGTCTTCCATTTCATCCCAATTTTGATGGAGCTGAAAACTCCCATGAAAAGGGTGCTGGGGAAAGAAGGCAAAGCAGCAGTCTGTTATCCTGACGGTGGATCAGCTGCATGCCTCCAGCCCCCGTGTCTTACATAAGGTTACCTGTCCTTCCCTCTCCCCTTCATGGGGTGTTGAGGGTGAATTTAGAGCCTAATAGCAGGACCTGGACATCATCTGAGGCCGAATAAAGCTGTATCTGTTCAAGCTCAGTTCCTACCCAGACCTCACACACTAGTGTTGGGTCCCCAGGGTAAGTCACTCTAAACCCAAGCCAATCTGGTGTGTAGAGAGGTGACAAACACGTGAGGAGTGTATGTGTCTACCTGTGAAAAGAAAGCTTTTTTACCGGACTCCACAGATGAAAGCTTAGTGAATAACCCTTCTAAGCTTCCTTGATCGGCTGGCTTTGCTGTGGAGTGAAGGGCACACCTGATAAGATTAGCAGTCTATCATGGTCAATCAAGTATACAGGAAACATAGTTAAAAATAGAGAAAGTACAGCAACTCCTAATGTCTGCTCCAGTTGGGATTCGCTTTTCTTACAATCTGTTTTCTGTTAATAAAAAAGACGGAGCAGACAGGTGTTACCAGTGCCAGGCTTCTCAGAAAGTAAAGACAGGAAACACCTAAGTATAAATTAGAGTCTGCTCCTCTTACGGGGAATCAGATATTAAACCAATGATGGGACAGGCGGGCAATATAGCACCTTAAAGTTTCTGGACAATCACCTAATCGGGATCCCTGTTATATTTTGCCATAAATACTTTACTGACTTGCCTGCTATGCTATTAACATCCACAGGGGCTCTCCAGAGGAAGAATTACCTGTTGAGACTGATTCTTATCCTACCTTTAAAAACAGCCTTTAGGGTCCTGTATTTTCTATATGGTTTTATTAAAGGCTGTTGTGAGAACGAAGGCAGGGTACCATCTAAAATTGATAAAATGTTACATTACTTGAATGACAAAAGTCCATTTTAGAATAAAGTCATTTGAATTGAATTATTTTTTTTAAAGCATTGAAATGTCACATATTCTCATGAAGCAGATAATTATTTGGCAGAGTTTCTGCAGGAACAATACTCTGGGCACTCTTGCAAATCATAAATAGTGTGCAAGGGGAATACAGTTGCATATCAAAAGACAGGTGTGTCCACAGTCCAGAAGAAGCTGGTGGACTTTAGCCAGCAGTCACATACACACACGCAAGCTCTTGTATCTACCCTCCTGTGCTGTGTGACACAGGGGAGAGCCTACTTCTTTACTTAGGTTTCTGCTACAATGTTCAGCCTCTCATTTCTTAAAGCTGATGGGTGCTGAAAGTGTATTTACTGGGTTTTCTCTCCTTTGCATTGTGGCTTTGACTCTGCATCATGCCCATGACCTTTAAAAAGCCAAATTTTACAAATCCAAAAATCACAACATCCCCACAACCCCATTCATCACCACAGTACCGCTGCTTGAGTGTTACTAAAATACAGGCTCTGAGCCCAGCTCTGTCCTGCTCCTCACTAATTCTTTACTTAAGTAACAATTATGAGAGAGAGCTCGGCTTGCATAAGGCTAACAGGATTGGGCTGCAAGATATTAGCACACCCCAGAGGCATGCGCATCTCTACCCTGCAGCCCAAAGAGTGTCCAGGCACAGAGCAGAGGCTGAGACAGCCATTACAAGATGCCTGGATGTAAATATATATCTGACGTCTGATATCTTCCCCTTGAAAGTGTGAAAGGAGGAGAAAAAAAAGAAAAAAGACAGATAGATATAGCCCCTTTAACCCCAAGAAACACCACATAGGCAGGAACCTAAAGGAACAAGTGGCAGTACTGACAACAGCCCAATCCCATTATTCCAAACTACCACCACAAAAATCCACTCACCTGATGAACTCTCTGCTAGGCTCCACTTGTAACCTGAATAGTCTGCTGCTAGGAAGCCTGACAATAAAATGCAAGTGTAAAAGGCTGAACAAAGGCCAAATACTACAGTTGGGGGGGGGGGGAGGATTAAGTGGGGTAATTAATATATTCACAGGAAATACATCCTTTTGCTTACTAGGTGAATTAAAAAATTCAATGCCCACATATGAGGAGAAAATTCAATGTCCACATACGAGTAACACCCCAATATTAGGCACAGTAACCTAAATATTTCTACTTCTACACAGAACATTATGTGCATAAGTGGGAGGCAGAGTAAGTGGGAGGCACAAATCAGATAATTCCAGACATTTGTACTGTATTTTACAAATATTTAGATGAATGGCTTAATTGGACCAGAGAGGCCCAATGAGAAACGGCTGCACAGAAGTGAGAGTAGTAAAATCCATCTTGGAGAAGCTAAGGCCACCTCCAGTAAATCTCTCCACTGTTCCCCAAGTAGAGGGATGAGAAATGAATGAGAAGCAGAAATGGCTGCCAAAGTGGCATTTCTATGTATCCCAAGAGCACGAGGCTAGAAAGTTCATGAAATCCAGGCACTCGGCCTCGTTGGTCTCTGAAAGGAGCTCAATGTGTTTTTAAGGCTACAACAGACTCGGATCTCAATGAGTTTCACAAGTTCGTACGCTGCGCGATAGATCACATGTGAACACGGACATTAGCATATACTACAGAGCATTTAGTACATGGAGATATAAAGCAGCTATTGTTCTGGCAGTAAGGTAATACGTAACCAGATAGTCTCTGGCTTCATCTAAAAAACATTTTCCCAGCATTTCACTAACTTGTTCAGCGGGAGCCTCTCTGCTACAACAGAGTGCGCATTCATGGCCAACGAACGGGTCCAAAGTGATGGGCTCTCTCCCCCATTGCCCCACTCCTGGCCCCTGTGCCTCTTTGCTGGGAGAAATTGTGCTCTTAACCCAAGAGAGGTGACATGAACTCACATCCAAGCAAGGTGCACAACTTTTGGAGGAGGACAATGCCTTGGGAAGGCGTTCAAAGCTTTACCTTGCAGATATGGAAAGCTGCAACTCTGGTGTCTCTGCTGAAGCCCTACCTTACGCTAGTGTCCGCACTAGCTACAAGGAGGTAAGCACTCTTCTTTTTTCCTTGGGGGAAAAAAGGGCTAGACACACGCTTTAAGGGTCCTTTTCTTCTCTTCTTCAAAGCATACCCTTCAAATCTAGCTATAAAAGCATCCCTGCTACAAACCAGCACACATCCTCATTGCAATGGTGTGAAGTGTCACAGTGCTTTGGTGTCTGCAGCCTGTCTTCTTTATAGGACAAGGGACCCATCTGGCACAGATCCCCCCGACTTCCCCCCATGTAGGACCTGGCCCATCCTTAGCAAGGTAAGCAATAAATCACAGCAAATACACAACTCAGACATGGAACTTATCATGCAAAGAGCAAGTTTTTACAGTCTACATTCCTCCTTTTTTTCATACACCACCGTCTTCCACTGCCTGGGCTGCGCAGCAGGTGGGATGGGTTCCTACCTCTCTCTCCCGAGAGTACTTATTCTTGGTATGCTACTGCCTCTGGCAGATTCCTCCCTTTTAAACTCTGCACAGCTGTTGATTAAAAAAAAAAAAAAAAAAGGCTTGGGCCCTGGCCTGGTGACTGAAGGCACAGAACATTTGTGCATCCAGGCAGAGCCCGAGCCACACAGGCTAGGTGGTCGGAAGCCTCTTTGCACACCAAGACAAGGCAATGATGGGTGCAGGGAAGGAAATCACCATTTGCTTTGCAGTAAGCAGGGGTCTTCCAGGTGTTTTGTCCCTGTGGGTCTCACCCGGGGTGCACAGGGGCCCGCAAAGGGGAGACTCATGGCACACGGACCCGCGCGGACAAAAACTGCAAAAAGAATCAAGCAGCCACTTGTATAACAGCCTGTCCTGGCGCTTCCCGGGGCAGGACAGAACAGGTCGAAAAACTCTTCCTGAGAGCGAAAGGAGCTGCGGTGGTTGGAGAATCCCTTCTGCTTTGCATCTGTTGTGGATGATTCAGACCGGAGTCCCACTCACTGGCTGCAGGAACGACTACTCTGGCTCAGACCGCAGGTCCGCCTGGACCAGAAGCAAGAAGGCACAACTCTGATGGCAGCAAATAAGCAGAAAGTCTAAAACCCGGCCAAATTCAAGTCTTGTTAATTTGCTGCGGGACTTCAAACCTCGTGACACTTAACTCGTATTTGGAAGTGCGACTTGGACCCTTTTTTGCAAAGAAAACGTACCAGGAACGTCTGAGAAGATTTGGCTGAGGATATCATAATGCATCTGCAGGTTAGAGCAACAGGAAACAACCATGGGCCAAATTCATTGATAGTGTATAATTGAACACAAACACCCCTGTCTGCTGATCCCTGTGACTTCAAAGGAATTGAACATACTATATTTATGCCAGCAATAAAACTCAGCTTCCATTAGCTGTATGTTCACCATTTAAATGCAGTGGTCCTGTCGTGCACACACCAATTAGAGTCCCCTAATGCTTGGGAGTACAAAGCCTTTTTTTTTTTTTTTTTGATGGAAAGGGGTGGAAGGGAAGAGATCAGCCGGCTCAGGGGAATAGCAGAGAGCCTTTCACTGCGAGGTCTCGCGTTCAAATCTGTCATAGGCCAGCGGTAACAGATGGCCACTTCTGAAGGCTGTTCTGTAGCTTACATGAAATGAGGGTTTGTCTCAAGCCACTGGTGGACAACTTACTGAAGCCACAAACACACTGCTGGTGGTTTCTGGCAGAGATGGTAGAGAATCCAAGGGATTACACGGGTACAAAGCAACTGCTGCTTACCTGATCAAAGGCACCTCCTTCCTGGAGGGAACAGAGGCAAATTGCTGGCAGCTTACGGCTGCCGCTGCCTGCACAGTGGAAGAACCTCTGGCTCCACAAGCCTGGATCTCGGTCTGAGAGCGCCTGCTTTAGCTGTCATTGGCTCCTTTGGCTCATCAGCACCAGTCCCTGTTCACTGAACTTTCCTTCGGACACGCTTGAGGTTTTGAAAATTAAAATCATAGGGGGAAAATGGAGATGAGGAAGTTCAAGGATCTGTAGCAACAAGGAGGCAAACCCACAGGGAGGGAAAATTTGCTACGATCTGTAAGCTGGGTATGGGAATAACAAATAATACCATGATTAATTTTAAACCAATTCCAAGCTAGTGCTCCCTCAGTCTTTCCCTTCTCAGAGTCTGTGTCTTCTCCAGGGCACGCTTTAACTTTCTGTGGGCAGATGGCAAAAAGTGCACCAGTGACCGAGTGTCCCTGGAGCACAAGGGGGTCCACGCAAGCCATCAGAAAGCATTACTCAGGGAGGAATTTGTATATATCAGCGAATAAATTAAGCCAAAGGATATGGGGGGTAGGAGGAACAAGTCAAAATCAGGCTTAGAAATGCCACCTCTGGCTTTGGAAAAGATTCAGAGGAAACCACTTCAGGAGACTTTGCTTTTTTTCTTATTGGAACCTGGTTTGCAGCCTCACATCGACTCACAGAAGAACATGCGTGCTCCTGACCTGGCAAGCGTGCTTTGCAGCGGTGGCTGGTGTGGCTTCAAACATACCAACCCACTGATGGACTCATGCAGCCAAAGAGATAGCAGCCTCCCACAGCAAGCAGAAGCCATCGTCCTGCTCTCGTGTGCTGGCCTACCAGGGTCTGCAGTATGGGGAAAATAGGGCGATTCCCCTGCAATCTTCCTGCACAGCTGTTTACTAGCTGCGGATTACCGCTGTCACATGAGCTGCTTTACAGCAAAGCCAAGCTGTCTTCATGAGCTGAGAAGGTCACTGGGAGACAGGGGCCTCCAGGGACAAACACACTGCCCTCTACTGTGACTGTGATTTACTTCCCAGAGGGACGCCAGGCAGCAAGAAAAGCATTCCCGACTGGTCAGAGGGCAATGAAAAATGGTTTTACCTTCAAGCCCTCTGCCCAGCTATCGTTAGGACTCACCCAGAGAAAGGGGAGAGGAGGGATATCCCCGGGGGTTAGTCTCACGCTGTCCATTTACCAGGCTGCAATCAAGGTGCTGGAAGGCTGGAACAGTCTTTACAGTGACAAATTTACCTTCTCTTCCTTGTGTGCCCACAGGCGAGGGCATCCCACCAACCTTTCGGACAAGGCCACCCAAGCATCACCAGCTAAGGGATGCCAAGGTGGAGCTGCGTCTCCCCAAGCTCTCGTGCAACCTGCTGACGCCTCAAAGCATAGATTAATCAATCCTATAGCAAGAAGTGTTGTCTTCTTCAAACCCAAATCCTAACCATTGAACATCAGGGCCAAAGAAGAGGAACGAGTTTCACTTGGAAAAACAGAAGTCTGAAGGTCCAGTGTGGCCACTCAGGAAAACGAATCAAAACCTGCAATCTTCATCATTCTGCCATAGGCAGGTCTGGTGGACAATGAAAACATTTCTGCAAGTGAGATCGCTCACAGGCTCAGTGGTTGCAGGACAGGGCTCTTTACTATGCCCCAGAGGCACAAGACAGATGGGGTTGTGCTTTTAGGCTTTAAAAGCAGTCCTTGCTATGGAGATCCAATGAAGGGGATAAATACAGTCACAGAATGATCCTCTAGACATGCTCAGAAAAAAGCAATAGAGGAACTCAAGAGGTCAGACCCTGCTAAGAAAGCAGCCAAGGCTGTTTTCAAAGAGGGGCAGAGCCCTTTATAAAGCAAAGAAAACAAACAGCCCCTTGAGCAGTTTGGAGATGTCTAGTCCCGCATCGCGTGCCTGGGAAGTGGGAACGCACAGTCCGAAGAGGAGCATGGAGTGTGGGAGGCTGTGCTGAGAACAGAAAGTGCAAGTAGCTCTGCAGGGAGGAAACTTTGGTCTAATATACAAGAGCTTTGTAAATGGAGAGACATGCAAACCATGCCTCAATACGCTGAAGAGCTGTACTTGGGGAAGCCCCTGCTTGTAGCTTAGCTTACAGGGTATTTCTCCTTCTAGTGGGGTGCCAGGCAGGGGGGAGAGTTCACAAAATC